GTTGATATGTTTATCTATTGTGTTTTTATTCCTTTAGTTTATTTATTATTAGCTTTATTCACTACTATATTTTCGGTATAATATAGAGTTCTCAGTACAAAGTATTTCAACAAGTTCCCTTTACTTATTTCTTGATCGATATTGACGGTAAATATTGAGTGATCTCCAGTTAGATATTAGCATGTCAAAAGTCGACATCTGAATAATATTCATCCTTTTCAATACATATTGCCAGTCATTACGATATCCCCGATTGTACATTTTTGTAACTTGTAAAGGGAAAGGTTGTAAACTTTTCATAAACGCACCTGAATAGGTTATACAATTAATTAACATAGTGAAGTGTTAAGACAAACAAAAGACAGGTGACTTGTTGAAATATCTAGATGGCAGGAACAAGTAGTCTAGATATTCAAGCAGACCACCTTAGTCTCCCCAGTACTGATCGCATTCTATCCGTCAAGTTTTGATGTAATCACTTGTCTGAAAGAACTCGGCATTGTTTACTGCGTTGCAAAACTCTCTGATTGGAATTATTTGTCGAGAAAGCTTAACCGTGGTCATTAGACTGCTATCAGTACAAAGGATTCCAACAATGTTATTCACTATTATGTAATCAACTAACTGACAGTATTTCAGTACTATAGAAAATCATTTGCGGTTTTAATAGTCCAGTGGTAATGTTTCAAACCGTAAAACCAGAAGATATGGCTTTATATCACTCAAGAAGCATTAGTTTCCTTGAGGTTACAGGTATGCCTAACTGACGAGTGTCAGTTAATATAAAACAAGGTCCAGGGTTTGCTCCCAACCACCTTACAGAAGTTATTGATTATTTGGTTGCGACACTTGGCTGTTTATATTCTGATGGTGCGCACATCTGAGCAAATCAGTTGACAGATATCTGAATATTAATCATGCAAATTTGAGCAATAGATAGAATAAAGTTTATTTGTATACAATAGTCTATGTTTAAGCATGAAGCAATTTCATCGTCTCCTTTGCGTTGAGTCGAATAACATACACGTTCGGAAAATTAAATAGAAATGAATTCAGTTACCAGGAAATACGACAGTATTTACAGTCGGTAGTTAATATAGTAACTCCGCCTGCAGCTCCTGCAGAGTTACTGCCGGTCCCAAGCCCGGGTAAAGGAGGAGGGTTGGGCATATGGTTAGCGTCCCCATCCTGTAGAAAACTAACTCGCTAAAAAAACGCTTACCAGAAACCATTTAAACTCTGCCCTGAATGTTAGAAGGTCTTCATTTAGAAGAATTATGACGCTTCATGGTGAAAGCCGAGTTCCTTCGGAAGCCACGAGGCCAATGCTCCTTCTAACAACCATAGCAAAAAAATTTTAAAGGTACATGGAACGCCCGAACAATTTATAAATGGCTGTCTACGCAAGATACTCAACATCCATTGGCCGGATATCATCAGCAACAGCCTTCTGTGGGAGAGAACAAACCAGCTTCCAGCTGAAGAGGAAATTAGGAAAAGACGATGGAAATGGATGGGACATACATTACGCAAATCATCAAACTGCATCACGAGAAAAGCTTTAACTTGGAATCCTGAAGGAAGGCGGAAAAGTGGAAGGCCAAAGAACACATTACGTCGGGAAATAGAAGCAGATATGAAAAGGATGAATAACAACTGGAAGGAGCTCGAAAGGGTTGCCCAGGACAGGGTTGAATGGCGAATGCTGGTGAGCGGCCTATGTTCCTTCACGAGGAGCAACAGGCGTAAGTAAGTAAGTTAGTAAGTTAATATAGTATCGATGAAAAATGAAGGCAGTTGTCATCCACTTGGTAACAATCAACTTGACGTCATACGTAACACACTGGTAAAAGTTGTATTTATATTGCTGAATGGTTTATATGAATTGGATGATAACTTTGTGATAATCAGTCTCACAGTTATAGTTATTATTGGATAGTGATTAGAATGTAGTTAGTAGTATAGTTCATTACGCACCTTTCATCCTATTTGAGATTCGTTGGTTAGATGTTCTTGTTCTCCGTTGTTGATACTCACATCGATAATCCACTCGAGTGCCTTTTGCTTGAAGGGATAAATACATCCCAATGTGAACACCATTGCATCGCGAATTCCAATCCAAGTCGCAATTCAACTTTATTATAAGTTGTAACTAAACAGGAATTTCCAAGCAATTTGTGTTAGGATGCACATATATCAATAGAGATTGATCTGAATCAGGCCTTATTACCAACAATAAACTTAAACATGAAAACGGATCTTCACTGATAACACTCATTGTAAATCGCACCCCTAGAACTAAATATTAGCTTGCTCATTAGTCAGTCCAGTTATTTAAATATGTATTCGGATCATGAAGACCACATCTGAGGAGAATCACGGAGTACAATGGACAACTCGGAATCAACTAGACGATTTGGACTTCGTGGATGACCTAGCACTTCTATCTCATAAACACCAATAAATCCAGGTTAAAACAACCAGTGTAGCAGCAGTCTCTTTAGCAGTAGGCCTCAACATATACAAGGGAAAAACCAAGGTCCTCACATAAAATATAGAGAACACAAACCCAATCGCACATTATGGAGAAACTCTAGAAGATGTGGAAGCTCTCACGTACCTGGTCAGCATCATCGATGTAGACGTAAAGGCGAGGATTGGTAAAGCAACGTCAGCACTCCTACAACTGAAGGACATATGGAAGACAAAACAACGGTCAGACAACATCAAAGTCAGAATTTTCAATACTAATTTTAAAACACTTCGATTGTAAGGAGTTGAAACTTGGTGAACCTGCTGAACCATCACCAAAGATGTACAAGTATTTAAAACAATTGTCTACGCATGATACTTCAGATTCGTTGGACGGATAATATCAGTAACAACATATTATGGAAGAGAACAAACCAATCTCCAATTGAAGCGGATACTAAGAAAAGACGTTGAAGGTGGATAAAAAATACACTGTGGAAACCACCAAACTGAATCACGAAGCAAGCACTAATTAGGAATTCTGAAAGTAAAAAGAAAAGTGGCAGATCAAAAGACACATTGTGTCAGGAATTGGAGGTAGACATCGAAAGAATGAATAGTATTTGTCAACAACTGGAAAGGATTTTCCGGGACAGAGTTGGATGGAGAATGCTACTGGTCAGACTATATTCCTACACGAGGGGTAACAGGTGTAAGTATGTATGCATATATTCTGTGATCCTAAACATTATAGACAATCCGATTTAATTTTACTTCAAGATACCATAATTTTCTTTCTAATATAACTACACATTGTGATAAATGCCTACAAGAAATAATAATAAAATTAACTAATACTAGATAATTTCACTTGTTGAAATCATGAGTCAGTTGAAGCTAGACCACCATGGAAAACCTGGAAGCATTGGACGGTCATTTCGTCTTAGTATGGGACTCCTCAGCAGTGCGCATCCACGATTCCGCACCCCACGAGACATGAGCCCGGTACCTATCAGTCTCGCGCCAGGCGCTTAACTATACTAGATAAATTATTATATTTATTCTTTTATATCAAAGTAACCAATCCCCCCCCCACACACACACATCTATAAATATTCACTTCGTCTATATATGCTGAATAATTTAACTAGCCAATAGGATTTTAGTTCATATGTCTGTTCATATTATCAAATAAACTCATGTTTGTCTTGACAACACACACTTCCCTTGTCACATTCATCAATATTATTATCATAATTATATCATGTCCATTAAAAAAAAATACTGGTTATTATTATCACTATGACTTTGATAAAACAATACATGAAGAAAAAAAAACAGAAAGATATCAACATAAATAAACATATGTACACGAACACACATTAGGCATACATATATATCGTATGTATGTATGTATGTATGTATGTGTGTGTGTGTAAGTATAGAAGTAAATGTATCAGTGATGTATTATCAATTGCAATAATCATTGTCATAATCTTTATCTTATCTCAAACTAATTGAGATAGGGGGAATCTATCTATAATTAAGTGTTATGATATCTTCAACATCCCTCTATATAAACCATATTCCCACATATTTACACATACATAAATACATCCCAATGTGAACCAATGTTGAACTATTCAACAATCTCAACTTGTTAAGTTACGTAATCACTTCGTTTTACGGGTTTAGAAGAATGTTATATCGTAAATATTATTATTACTATTATAACCGGTATTATTTAATCCTCCAGAGTTCATTTTCTAAACACATTCACTATAGTATGAACTGGAAAACGTCTAACTTATTACACATACAAATGATGAATCAAGAAATACAACCGAATGAGAGATAAAAAAAGCAAAAGAAGATAAGAAATTCAAAGAAACAAACACCAGGATAAATACTAAAGATAAGAAAAATCTAAATGATAAAAAAAGAAAAGTATTTTCTAAAGAAAAAATACTTAAATATGAACAAACAATAACAAGAAGAAGAACAACAACAACAATAAGAAATACATGTTATAACAAAACATTTTGTCTGTGTTCTTGTGAAAGATACGATATGCAAGCTATTACACCTAAGTATGTACGTACGCACATACACATATTCGTTTGTGTGCCATTTTAAATACACCTACATATAACATACACACATATGCAAGGGGTGAAAAATTGTTCTTGAACAACTTATGACACACATTTTGTTGTCTATTCGTGTGTATTGTATATGTACACGTGTGTCCATGTGTGTAAAGTGGTGCAAGTTTTATACACATACATAAAATATCATTATTTTTAAAGAATAATAATTTTTCTTATTAGCTGGAGGCGACAAATTAAAATCACAGATTAAATACAACTGGGATAAATATTCTGCCTATCTATCTATCTATCTATCTATCTATCTCTATATATACCATACTAATATTACTAAACCATAGTGATAACAATGATGATATAATTGATAGGGATACTAATTCTATTCTGATTAATAATGAAAAAAGAATTCATGATATAATAATGGATCATAATACAATATTTGCATTACAATCTATTCCATCTATTGTTAATATTAATAAATTTAGTCAATATAATTCAAGACTAATGAAAACTGGTTATAAACGGATTAGACCAATGTGTAATGAAATCAATTTGAAGAAAATGAATCGTATTGACAATGATGATAATGATGATTCTATGGATGAGCAAAGGATTAATATTCCAAATAATAATATACAACAACAACAACAACATCATGAAGAACAAGATGTCATTACACATCAATCGGTGCTACATCGAAGTTTAGCAGAATGTTTAAAACGTTTATGTAATGAAATACAAAGTAATCATTTTCTACCAATTACAATGAATGCATCACTTAATACTGATACAATTAATTCAATGAACAATGATTATTCAACTTGTATAACTACACCTATCACTATTCCTACTACTAATATCAATACTACTAATACTAGTGTTTCAATGTATCCAACTCAAGCATTAGACTTGAGTATAACATCGAATATTACATTAAATGAAAGTATAACCAATGATTCATTGAATATAACTAATACATTCAATAAGAGTTTATCACCTTCACCAACATTATCTTCATACTATTCATTAAATAATAATAATAATAATAATAATAATAATAATAATAATAACTTGATTGCACTCACCTTATCTTCCTCATCTTCTGATTCATCTACTTCATTGATGTCATCATTTTCAAATAATACTATGCCACAACAAGAACAACAACAACAACAAAGAAACACAGTTAGTTTGACAAATATCACCAGTCACACTGATTCACTTATAAATAGTTTAAATTATGACACTTCTAATAATATTAATACTAATGTTAGTAGTAGTAATGATGATCACAGTCAACAACAAACTATTCACTACGATTCTCCGAATATTATCAATAATGGTAAGTATTGTGGTATTCCAAATGTACTGGCAACTACTCATAGTCTTAGGGACAGTAATGATAATAATAATAATAATAAATTACTGAACATTCGACCAAACGATAATATTACTAGTAAGTAGTTCCACCATTATTACTGTTATTATTATTATTACTAACATTATATCACTTTTTATTATATAAAAAGAATAAATAGTTTATTTTGGTCGCGTTTTGTTCTGTGTGCTATGTGGCTTATTTCGGATGCTTCCATCGTGCTTCCGAAGTGAGGTGAACTGTGTGAATATCTCCATACATGACTAAAAGCTTAATTTATCTAAATTGATTCCGTATATAATTCCGGTTGAATTGAAATGGTAGCTTAGTGGCCGAAGAGTTAAGTTTTCAACCATTAGTTAACTGGTTTGAGTCCCGCTCCATTGATACTGATTCCGGCAGATAGATCAGAATTTTGATAGTTTTACATGACAGATCGATTTTCTTTAGATAATTACTGGAAAATGGAAAATATTTAACAGTTGTTTCATTCTAATATGGGACACCTACTGATAACGATGCCTAAATGTCTTTGGCTAAATATCTAAGTAGTTGTTGTGGTTATACACTACTGAGGAGTCCTACTCTAGGATGAAAGAACTGTTTAATATTTCCCGGTTCCCGATAGTCGTTCAACTAGAAGCATTTCATACTACAAAGACGATGAATTCATTATTAATCACGTCCATATTGAAAGTGATCTATAAATTCAGATTTAATTTTACTTATATTTTTCATAAGATATTCTTGTCCGGAAATATCGAAATTCTTGTACAAACCACACGACTCAACAGTTCTAATGAGTTGTTTTGAAAATTTTTTCACTTAGTACTAAATTGAAATTGAGCGGTTTATTCTTCAAGGGAATTTAAACAGCATACATAATGCCAAGTTCAAACATTAATATATATTTTTTAAAATTCTCGATTCTCCGTAAAATAGTTGCCTCCAAATCCTCCGGTACGACCGGAATTTGAGAGAGTTAGCTCTCTTTCTAAAAATGCTCTCAAGTGGCTACGCGTATACGGCCACTGTCAGTGATGTCCTACACACCAGCTTCTCTTGGCATTATGGTTTTTTACGAAATTGAGAGGAAGAAAGACAAATGTTTGACACTTTAATCGGGTTGGTGAACACGGAGGATCCACCTGTGGGAATTGGAAAACCCTCATTCCAAACGAGTGATGCACATGGACTCCAGGATCCTGAAGGAACAATTGGTGTGTGAACCAACTGTTGGTCACTGGCTACCATGGGATTGCATCTCCTAATGTTGCACCTTGTGGATAAGACCCTTAAGTTAAAGGCTCCGTGTGTGGCCCCCCGAGTAGCATCACAGCCCACACACAAATCAAGTAACTTGTGTGGAGCATATGTATTCGATGCCTCTTTGTACCAACATTTATGTGTTCAAATGAATAAATAAATAAAATAGGTTCTTAATAATTGATAATATTTCTAGAAATTATTACCTATTTACATTTAAATTTGAAAATCGACTAGTTACAATTTAATATCAGAAAGGGGTTTCTGTGAAAATCTTTAATAATTTCAATAGTTGAGATCATGAGCCAATTGAAGCCAAATCATCATGGAAAACCTGAAAGCATTGAACGGTTGTTTCATCCTCTTGTGAAACTCATCAGCAATGCGCATTCAATTTATTATCTTTTTTCATGGGATTAAAAAAGCTGTGTGTATCATTATTGGTTAGGATTTGAAAAGTCCCATAATTGCTACTCATTGGTGAATGACTTTGATTCCAAGGGCAAACATTAACACTCGGATGCAGGTACACCCACTATAATAATCTCAAATAAGATGAAACATTTGTCAACAGAAACAAATTGAAATTCAGTTCTGAATATAAAAAACAACCTCAAATTCTTTTCCTCTTAAAATGAATGCAGTCAGTTAGTCATATGCAATGTAGAATCTGGTACGTGTACATTAATTAAAGTTTCCACATACCATTAGCGCAACAAGGTGAAACTGACAGGACAAGCCTAAAATTAGTAGGTGATTATTTTTATTATTTATTGAAACACATAAACATTAGTACAAGGAGACACTAAATACATATGCGCCACATAAATCATTCAATTTATGTGAGGGCTGTAATACTGCACGAGTGCCCACACCGAAGCAGGCAGTTTTCTTAGGAGGCCACACACAGAGTCTTTAACCTAAACGTCTAATCCACAAGGTAGTGGAGCAACGTCAGGAGATACAGTTCCATGGTAGCCATTCACCAACAATCGGTTCATACGCCATTTGTTCCTCTTGAATACTGGAGCCCATGTGGACCATTGGTTTGGAATGAGGGTTTTCCAACCCCTAGATGGACTCTTCACGTCCACCAACCCTGTTAAAACGCCGGACATTCGCTTTTCGTCTCCTCAATTCCGTAAAAATATCCCCACTACAAGAAGGCAGTGGGTAGGGTTTTCCTGACATTGGCCGTATACGTGTGGCCATGTGAGAGCATTTCGAGAAGGAGAGCTAGCTCTCTCAACCTTCGGTCTCACCAGGACATCTGGGGGTATACTTTGAGGGAGAGAACAGTATTAGTGATATTGAAAAAATTGGATATTGAAGATACAATTTGGAGGACAGAATATTGGATTAGTGGAATAAAACGAATCATTAAAAACCTCAAGATTTAAGGGAAGACATACAGTGAATATATTTAAACCACTGTGAATGATTTTGTACCATACCATATGGTGGTTATTTTTCGAAAAAATGTTTCTAACCAATGTATAGTCATATTGAAAATTACTTTTAACAAAAAAAATAAAACTGTTTTTTAGTGGACACATTTCGTCTAAACACAATGTAGACCTCAATTAGTAGAATGTTCAAGTGATAACCTTACAACAGTAAAATGTGATAGAGAAGATGTAGAGATTAAATGAACACTTTTGGTGTTGTTAAGCTCTCTAAGCTAAATAGTATAATTGTGAAGCTATTTTTTGTCGTCCTGAACTATATTATCACAACTCAGCTGATATGAAAGTGAGCTTTTTAGTTATTCAATGACTTAAATATCAGTTATGTTCTGATGGCTTTGTTTCCGATTGGTTGCTGTAGACTCAGTTGTCATACATTTTCTTTGAATTCAAGTTGACTGCCTTGTTTATTTGACCTCGAAATGTGTTGTTGATTTTTTCCTACGAATAATTTGATAGATGAGGTGTAATTCAATATGTCTACTAATTACTGATTGATTTGAATGCCATGTATCCGGAAAGTCTTTGGTACTTCGAGAATCTACATGATCAAGAATTGTAACGATTTCCCAGTTGAATTTATAGTTATAGGCAATACAGAACCTGGTACTCGCATACATAGATTCAACTTGCTACATACCAATAATTTACATAATCACTCGGGCTCTGAACAAGTAGTCCGCACCTACCTACATGACTCAGTCCAACATTCGGTATCTTCATGGACTGATGTTACGTCTTGGTTTGACCATCCTCTAGATCTCTTCCAGCGTACACCTAAATTATGCATAATCGTGGGTCGAGATAAATGGTAGATAAGGACATGTAATATATGTCCCAATTATCTCAGTCGATGAAGGTTCACTATATCATCAGTCGATTTACCATCCTTACTTATTACTTTACGTTTAACATTATAACTGCTAACATGGTCGCCTACCTCCATTGATATCTATAAGATAACACATTGTGCTTATGATTTTGTTCAGAACGACACCCAAAGTGTCTAGCTTAGATAATTAATTCTAAGATATACAAATGATACTGTAGCTTAAGTTTTATTCATGGCTTTTATGTCATCATCATGATTAGTATCAGTGATGAAATCATTTGCTAGCAAAAAATTATTACTTCGGTTTGGGCACCCGGGCAATATTCCAGCCCTCACACAAATCGAATGATATATATATATATATATATATATATATATATATATATATATATATATATATATATATGATGCCCCTCGTACCAGTGTTTATATGTTTAAATAATAATAATAATAATAATACTATCTATAAAATACACATATGGTCTTTTGAAATATATTTACCTATTCATATGTATATACAAACGTGGACACAATGGAACAATATAAGCATTCGGAATCTTCTTGTCTTATTAAGCATATTTAAGAACCTACTTCTTATTCGATCTTTTATTTGACCTTATGACTCGAGTACGTCTTAGTTATTAAGTGAGGGTTGTGTGAAAGAATTAAAAAACCCATAGAAAATAATCGTTCTAAGATTATTTTCTCGATAGTTTACCCAACAGATTGATCTAAGTTAGGCAAACATTGTAAACCAAGAGGCATTAAACGGCTGTATCTTCTTTGTGTCAGTTGGTGAAGCCAGTAGGGTCTTGTGGAGAAGAATAGTACTTGAATGCATCACACAACTAGATGGGCGTAAAAATTGTTTCTACGATTGATTTTGTTGTTTTTGATCAATCTACTCCTAGTATGAGACTTCCCATAAGTGCACAATCAGTTCCTCACTAAGAAACAAGCTCAGTACTTCCATATCTCATGACGATGCCTAATCTTTGAATCATTGAACCGGTATCCGATGGTGTACATGTCTAACTCTAATCAGTTAGCGATATTGCTTGATCATCTTTCATTCACTGTAATGGATAACTGGTTCACATCACGGTTGAATGGCAGCCTGTACAAACCCCTATAGTATTCATAACCCTGAAGTAATGAGATTTATTGGGATCTGGACTCAATAGCTCAATGGCGGATAATACATTGGTGTTTGAGGTGAAAGGTACTAGGTTCATATCTAAGCATAAACATCAACTTCGGGATGGAAGTATATCCAATTATTGAGTCACAAATAGAATGAAAAATGTGTCCCGGATTCCACTAATGGTTACAGTCTGTTTTCAATTCCTTATGACGAAATGGTGATATTGAACGTATCAGCATGGGATTCACAAATTCCAACGAAAACCGATCAGAACTCAGTCTTAAATGTCAATAATAGGTTAATCCATACCCTTATTAATAATTATGTGAGCATCATTTTTTTTAAAAAGCGTTGGAAAATAGTTTCTTGTTACTTGAAGAGTAACACAATTCTAAGGAAAGATCGCAATCTATGGGATTAATAGTTTCAGCTTAAGTAGTTATTCAATAAGAGCAAAATGAATAACACATTCACATTATATCATATATGATAGTTGAAGTTAGAAAATGCATTCTATCGGTTGCCTACTAAGTAGTTATTCACATTTTCTTAGTTTCGTAATAATTCTACAATTAATGTTAGTCAATCAATGATAACTACCTTTAAAAGTGGAATGCTCGACCTTACTTTCAGTGTCTATCAAATTCTAACCACTAGGGGTGTTAAAATTTCATTGGTAAATATTGTCCATTCATGGCTTTAATAACGCTATAATTTCATAGCTTTACATCACGAACCGATTTTATTTAGATCACTACTGAAAACCAGAAAAGATTCGACAGTTTTTTCGTTCTGGCGTGGAACTCCTCCACAATGTGCGTCTATAACCTGACTAGGAACCAAAATAAGGATCTTCAAGTCTTGTAGAGAGTTTAATTTTTAGACGACTCAATCATTATTTGGTCGCTCTAACCAAAACCGATTTTTTGATGTAAACTTTGGAACTCAACCATTTTCACATACCCTTTAAGTTTACATTATAATTATTGTAATGATTACAAAATAATCTAATGAAATCATGAACTGACCTATGTTAGACCACTATTGAAATCATATAAGCACTGAACGGCTGTTTCATCCTAGTATGGGACTCCCCAGAAATAAGTATACACGACCCCGCATTTTGAAATCAAACTTAGGACCTTAGGTATCGCGCGTGAACGTTTAATCTCTCGACTACTGAGTCGGGATCCAACGGTATTATTGTTTAACTTCGATTGGTTCATGAAATTGTACAACTATCTTCCACTGCTTCTGGTGGGTAACTGCTTCACACCCGATATGGTTTAACTCCACTGTTCACGGCTTTTTGTAAGGATTTTTGAACTTACCTCTCGAAGCTAGTCACAAGTAAACACCTATCAAGGACACTGGAAGATGGTTGAGTGATGTCATGAATCGACCGGAATTAGAAATTAACACTGTTGGATGTCTGACCAGTGGTCTAGAAGTTAGGCGTTTGTTCACGAGACTGAGGGTCCCAGGTTCTTCTCTCACGTGAGAGGTCGTGGATGTACACTACTGCAGAGCCTCATATTAAAACGAAACGACTTTTCAATGTTCCCAGATTCTCAATAGTGGTCAGTTTATGATTTCAATGAAATCCAACAATCTCCACAACATTCTGCCAACAAAATAATTGGTTACAGCCAATTAAGTAATAATAAATGTACAGCGAATAATATTGATGGATAAAATATCAATGAAACATTGTGTTTTAGCTAACATAAAACATTTTAAATGTTGAGACTCATTAATTGGCTGATAATTATTTGGACCGATGGGTATATTTTTCTTAAGGCAAGGAATTGCATATGAGTTACGTTGCCAATTATACATAGAACTTTCATGGTACGTACACATAAATCTTCAATTATAAAATGTTAATTTTATACGATTATGTATGACTATTTGAAGTTCAACATGAAAACTCCAGTTTAAAACGAATAAAATCTCCCCAACTGATAAATCACTAGGTAGTAACCATTATCATGTTCATCTAATCGATTAAGTTTCTTTGTGACCACTTATCTAAGAGACAAAATATATAGAAATTAATCAGGACTAGGTAAATACAGTACGTAAAACTACTCAGCAATCAATCAAATATAAATATCTCAGTTTATTCATTTATTTATTTGAACACATAAATATTGGTACGAGAGGGCATCAAATATATATGTGCCACAATTTTGTGTGAGGGCTGTGATACTGCCCGGGTGCCCAAACCGAAGCAGGCGGTTTTTTTAGGGGGCTACACCCAGAGCCTTTGACCTAAAGGTCTAACCCACAAGGCAGTGGAGGATCGTAAGGAGATGCAGTCCCATGGTAGCCGGTGACCGAAAATTGGTTCATACGCCATTTGTTCCCTCAGGATACTGGATCCCATGGGCACCACTGATTTAATTTGGGATCCGGCTAAGCGCCGGACATTCGCTTTTCGTCCTCTGATTTTCATAAACAACATCCCCACCACGAGAAGGCAGTGAATAGGACTTCCCTGGCAGAGGCTGTATACACGTGGCCGTGCGAGAGCATTTCGAGAGGGAGGGCGGGCCCACCCCACTTTCGGCTATACCAGGGCATTTGGGGGCTTACCGTCACTACTTCCCTTTTTTCTTCGATATGTTTCATTTTTTTGGTTAAAACTAATGATATTAATAATCATTAATGGTATTCTTTTTCCTTATATATTTAGCTCAAACATTATTATTTCCTGGCCTTACTCCAACAATTTTTAATTTACCTCCATGTTTAACTTGTACAAATACATTAACACCAATAAAATCAGTAATGGATCAATTAATCAATGAAAAAGGTGAACAAGACGAAATAAAAGAAGAACTTTTTACAAAGATTACTAAATCAATTTATTTACATCAAAATGAATTGAGTAATAATACTACTACTAATAATACTACTAATAATAGTAATATTAATAATAATCCACCGGCTATTATAAATAACATATTAAATCCAACTGAATTAATTTTGAATTATGCAACAAATTATTATTTACATGGAAATCATCAATCATTCAATAATAAATGTTTAACAGAAGAAGATATTATTGAAGGAGAAGAAGGGGAGGATATGAAAAAAGATGAAATTTCTACATGTACTAGTCCTGATGAAACAATATTAAAAGAATTCGATAATGAACTATCTTCAAAACGTATTGGTAAGTGAGTAATTGGAATTTTTTGATTGAAATCATGAACCGATTGATGTTAGACCACCTTTGGAAATCTGGAAGCACTGAACGGCCGTTTCATCTTATTAGAGGAACTCCTCAGCAGTGCGCATCCACGATCCCGCTCATAGGATTCGAACTCAGGGCCTTCAGTCTCGTGCGCGAACGGTTAACCTACTGGACCACTGAGCCGGCATCCAATAGTGTTGGTGTCTAACATCAACCAATCCACGAAATTGCGCGACCATCTTCCATTGTACTGAGGTAGATACCTGTCTTTACCCGACATTGATTAGCTCCACTGGTCACGACTTCTCACTAGAACTCCGAGAACTCCCTCACGAAGCTAGTCACTAGTGAGCACATGTTAATTACTAGTATGGGGGACTTTTTCTTAAAGTATATTATGGTCGTGTAACATAACAATGGTCTATGCTTGTCGAGGAGTAACAGGCGTAAGTAAGTAATTAATAACGTAACAAAAAGCTGTTTGATTGAATGAAGTAGGATTCAGATTTGATGAAAGGCATCAGTTCCGTTAGGATTACAGATATATTTAAGTAAGAAGTGTCAAGTGACATGAAACATAAGCTTACTCTTTTCTTACAACCATCTACAACAACCTAACATAGATGGTCTGTTAATTTTAAATCATTTTTATGTTAGTTGTTTGAATCTCCGTATTGGCGTTTAGGACTACAATTGATCAGCCTGTCTTTGGTATATATGTATCCTGTGAGGATTAACTCGATATTATTATTAAGTCACAAGTATTTTAAGCAGAGATGGATGATGGTTAGCAAAATAAAATGATAATAGTAATAATAATGACATATGTGTTACATCACATAAGCAGCGTATTTGAAATATCTTCGTATAGTTTTCAATATGTCTAAAATCATGGGCAAAAATCTGGGTTTCCTTTGTTTGTTTTACAAGGAAAATCAAAGTGTTAAACATGTCAACTACAGACTTTTTAAAATTTAAATTGTATCAGGAATCAACATCTGAATGAGGTTCATTCTTTTCAATTTAATATTGACAGCCACCATAGAGTTGTACTGTTTAGCAACTTTTACAGAGAAAGGTCATAAACTTTTCATAAGCGCTTGAAATAGATTATGAGATTAACAGATATAATGATGCGTTAAAATAAACAAAATAAACAGAAAACTTATTGAACTATCTAGATGTCAGGAATAGGTAGCCCATATATTCAAACAGGTCTCATATCATTTCTATCTTATCAACCCATTTCACTTACTGTACAATGAATTTATTCATGAAGATTCTGTAAATGATTAATGTGAATGATTTACCGTAGAAACATTATAGCACTGGGATGTATTTAGAAAGAAAAGCCTTTTGCTTTAGATTATGCTGTGTGGCAATATTTCCACAATGTTTATATTAGAATATTATCAATAAACCTTGTCTAACTAATAAATCACCTGAAACGATTATATTCCAATAGGTTTCATTACATTTTGATTGAAAATCATCTTCAAGATCATAAGATCAATTCAATATCACTTTTGGCTTATTCTTATATGTAGAAGTTAAGTGTCAAGAGTTTAATGTAAACAACAAAATGACTTATAATTCGGAAAACAGCTAAGAATCTCAGAGTTGTTTGTTACATAATTCTACAGGGTTGATATATAAGAATAGAATAGAGAAAGTGTACAGTACAAATGTTTGAAATTAAGTATAAATGAACGAGTTTGATAAAGTAATAACATATTTTTGATGTGGAGAGCCAATCAGAAGTGGCCTAATGAGAAGACCAGTCGATGACAATCAGAAGTGACCTAAAAGATTAGAGCGCTTCATTGTCTAAGAAATGGATGAATTTCCTAATGATTAAAGTAGTATATATATGAATGAGTATTTGTGCATTTTATTCGATAAAACAACATACTTTCTGGCTCACTTTTGTGTTATCGCTCAATTAGTAAGTAAGGGGAGAGTTAGAGCGTAGCATTTCGGACACCGCTCATCACAACAATTCTACTCCCTGACTTTCTATAGACAGATATATGGTATTGTGACATTTTTATGAACCATGTTCGAGCTTGTATATTCGAATTTATTCCAAATTTATCTCTAAAAAAGAATAGGACATTAAAGCTTATGATTTAGCGTGTTATTTACTTTCAATCATTAGATACCTGTTAACTGAGCCAATCAAATATAAGAGATGCTGACGAGTACACGCTATTGCTCAAGATTTTGCTTAACTTTCTGAGATGACATCTATATTCTATTATTTGGAAATGTAGCTTAGTTTATTTAAGGAGCGTAAACCTTTATTTCTAAATGAGTATATGCATATTTTTTTGTTTCGGGTCAGTCAATAAAAGCTTCCTAGTAATTATAAGTTTCCTCATTCAAGTAGTCAGTTTAACTTGTGTATAAGAAGTGAATTTACCAGTAGCAGACTCAAATGACTTCAGGACATAACAACACCATAGACAAATCCCTTCTCACCGTCTTCCATTTAAACATCCCCTCATAAAACAAGTGTACCTTACCTCAAAGTATATAAAATTATAATCGATTGTTAGATTACAACTAACTTTTGTGAATATTCAAACAATCAAACCTATTCTTCATCATGTGGAAGACTTCAAAAATATGTTTCTTATCACCTTTGATTTAGCAAGTTTATGTTATAACTTAAATATTCAACAATCTACACAATTACATTGTAATAATATTCTATCCTTATTTAGTTTAATTCAGCTATTTGTCTAAACTTCTGGAATATGCTATTCCCTCTTGAAACAAATAAGGGAATTAAATTCACTTGGTATTGTTTACTTGTATCTTCCCATTGATGTTTAGCACTGCAATTGATCAGTCTGTTATTGGCATATATGCATACTGTGCGTATTGCCTCGATATTGCCTGAAGTCACAAGTATTATGAGCAAAAATGGATAGTGGCTAGCAGTGGAATTCAGGACGCGTGTTTCGTTTTATTTGAGATTCGTCAGCTGAATGTACCTTCATCTCAGAATTGATGTTCATTATGGGACTCGAACCCAGTACCATTCGCTTCAAACGTCATCGTGTTATCCACTTACATACTTTTAATAGTAACTCCACCAATTTTCGTTTAATGCCTTAAAAAAATACTTATTTTCGTTTATTATTTTTTCTATTTCAGATTCATCTGACATGGAACAATTAGACTTAAAAACAACTTCATTATGGTTAACAGAATCCGATATACATTCTATACCAAATCTAGTTGAATCGATTAAAAAATACCATTCAAATGATGAATGTGGTTTTGATGTATGTCGATCATCTAAACTGAGAGAACATTATCATTGTAGTATATGTAATAAGGTAAATTTAATAGTTAGTTATAATATCAGAAAGGAAGTTGTGTGGAGATTGTAGTAATTTACTGGTTGAGTTCATGAGTCGATTAAAGCTAGACTACGATATAGGTAGTAACTTACTGTAGGCAATGTTGAACAGTGGCGCAACTTCGTGGACTGGTTGAAGTTGGACATTAGCACTGTTGGATGACGACTCAGTGGCGCGAGACCTAAGGTCTCGGGATTGAGTGCGATGTGTGGGATCGTAGATGTGCACTGCTGAAGGGTCCCATACTAGGGCGAAACGACCGTTGAGTACTTCCAGGTTTTCTATGATGGTCTAGCTTTAATCCACTCATGAATTCAACTATTAGGTTGGTTTTAACATTGATTTGCATATTTATTCGTAATGAAAAACGTAATCTGTTCAGAAAAAAAGGAATACTAAGTTGTTTAATTCTTTGACATAAGTTAGAAAACAATGTCGAGAAATTCACAGAAGATTAAAGGCGGTTTACACAGATAATACTTTGAAGGAAACAGTTCTCTTTTCAAGTTTTTCATTGTCTATAGTGAATAGTGAAATGGTGATGCAAGTACAACACCATATAGTTGATGTTTTGTATATTGATAAAATGTGGAATATACTAAGTCTCTTGAAAGTTGAAAAAGCTGACCCATTGTTCGGATGATTGTTAATAAAATGAATTTTGGAAAATCGTATGTGTACATGTTTCTAGTAACACATTTATATTCAAAAAAAATGGTAATTCAAGAATCGCGAAACAATAAGGTAGCTGGAATGTCTCAATTTTGGTTCCGTCAAAACAATGGAAATGCAGCTGAGGCAAGTAGGATGCTACGAATGTCAATTATCTTTGTTGTAACGGGTGGACTGCAGGTTATGATAAGCAACGTATTTATCGATCGCTTCTGTGACACGTAAAACACACAAGGACGACCTAGAGTCCCGATTGGTCCCGCTTCCCTGTCTAGCCCAGCCAGTTGAGCCTAGAACGCAAGTCACAGCCTCTGAGTTATGAATCATTATATTTCAGACATACTCTATTTATATACCAAACAAACAAACCCCATCGTACCATAAAATAGAAAACAACATTTACACAATATCTAACGAGTGAAGTAAATAATGGCCAATAGGGAATGTCCATTTAGAGTCCAAGGACATCATTAGACTTAACATGATAATGATTGGTATATTCTTCAGCATCCCTAACAATCTTGAAGAAGAAAAAAAGGAGAGTTGTACCATACGTTTTCTAACATAAATTTGTTCATGACTTCAGATTGAATATTTATTAAACAGTTTCGACTTGTAATCATGGGTTTTAAGCATATTTACACTTGTTTGTCTCGAAATTACTCAACTTTCTTTCCTTGGTAGGATAATTATTGTAGAATGATGTGTCCGATACTAGGACGAAACAACCATCAAATGTTTAAAACGATGTTCGTTTATGAAGAAAAAAGCTATCAAGAAGTTAGATTAACCTCTAAATTAAACTAGAATAACATACGAATCAGGAGATGGAATCTAGCTTTGTTCCCTAGATTATAATGAGAAATTATGATCTTTTAAAATTCAAACATTTTGATAGTGATCAAATTAACTATCAATAAATCCAAATAACGACCTAACTAGATCATGAATTGAATGAATATTAATCACTAGATTCCAACTTAGTAGTCTAAAGATGTTGAGTTTGTTACAAATCCTGATAGTCACGGAATCGATCTTTAGTGTGTTCATGACAGTATATTACTAAGGAGTCCCATACTAAAATCGATCATATGTTTCATGCTTCTTAATTTCTAGTGGTACCCTTAATTATATCAATTCATGCAGTAAACCATTTACATTCTAGGGTTATCATCATACTGTATTGTAACCAAACGGTTTCCAAATTATTAAATTATTATTATTATTTAAAAAATGTTTAGTGATACCTTCTGACCTTTCACAATTACTTTGTATAATAATTAAAAAAAAACACTTTAGATTATTCTACGACGTGAAGAAATGATAAGACATGCTAAATGGCATAGAAAACGTGAAGAAAGTATGCAATATGGATTTATGCGTTATAGTCCATGTGATGATTGTACTGTTATTTCTTGTCCACATAATGGACGTCAAACACATTATCATTGTATGCAATCAAATTGTGACAAGGTAAGAATTATCATTATTATTACTGGTTTTTTATGTAAAAAAGTGATACAATTGATAGTTGTAATAATTTTTTTGGGGGGAGGGGACAAGATCTTAACACTCTAGGTTAGATCCCCGGTTCGGTTACGTATGCACAATGATAAAGAGTTTCATATTACAACGAAACAACTACCTAGTACTTTCCAATTTTTGATGTTTGTCTAACTAAACTAATTTTATGATATAAATTTACTGATTTCGACAATTTCCACTATCATTTTATACTAATAACAAACTTATGCTCGCTAATAGCTAATTTTGAAAGGTGACTACCGAATTTCGAGTGTTAAGACTTGACTAGTGATATTCAGCTTTGTTGAGAGTAGGTTAATTACCCACTAGTAGTTATTAATTAGAATTAGACGTATAAACCACTGTATACCGATACTCGATAGTCTAAAAGTTATGTACTCGCCATGAGGTCCTTGATCCTGTATTGAATGCCTGATAGGATCATGGATATAGGTTGACAAAGGGTCCTAGTATTTCCTAATTTTCAACAATTGTCTATCTGAAATTAGTCTGTAATGTAGAACTATAAAATTCAATCTCCTCTTACCTTACTTTAAAGTTACTTATTTATTGGTTTGAAACAAACAAAACGAGCTATTGACTATGGGATACAATACTCGTATCAATAATTGTAGACCTTCGAAATTTAACATTGTTTTCTTTTTTGTTGTTGGTTGTTTTGAATTCTTGTATTCCCCTCTTATTGTTTAATCAACATTCTCTCCGATCGTTTTGACTGACGATAATAATCGAAATTCTAACGACAATGTTGATGATGATGATGATGATTAGCTAGTCGAATAGAATGTGTTTTCTATTTCTGGCTTCATCTTTCTGTTATTATTATTATTCTCTCTGCTTGTAGTTTCACATATTCTTTCCTTCTCTCCTTGTTTTTCTTGGTGCTTTCACGTATACCATTCTTTTCTTTTTCTAATCCTGTCTTCTACTACCACACACACACATATTAACAGATTCACATGTTTTACACCTAAAATTTTGATAATAATAATAATAATGTGCATTATTATTACTATTTTATCTAAAATAAACACAAATTCCTTATGTCTAGTGTATATATGTTTGTTTTTTCGTGTGTGTGTGTGTGTGTACATTCATCTGTGCGTCTGTCAGTCGGTTCCTGTTGCTGGTATTAGTGATAATAATGATGAAATTTGTGTCTGATTTCAATTCATATAGTGCTAACAATAAATTTCGGATAAATATATGACAACATATTTAATATGTGGTTACCAGTAGAGAGTTTAGGACATGGGTTTGTCGTCTTATTTTAGACGTATTAACTGAATATACCTCTTACAGTTCAATGTTGATCTTCACAATGGAACCTGAACTTAATATCTTTAACTTTAAAGGTGTAACGCATTATTCACTAAGTAATTGAATTTAAATAATCGTCAACTTGTTCAAAATGTAGGAAGATATTCATAAGGGTTTGTAATTTCCTTGAAGTTAATCAGTCTCTTTTGTTATAATATCTATTCTATACGAATTAGCCTCATAAAGCATTATGCAACAAGCTTTAGTAAATTTGATATATGACTATGAATAAAATCGACAAGATACACTTTATATCATTTAGGAATGGACAGATAGATGTACATGAATCCCAGTGTTTATGTTCAAACTGAAACTTCAATCTATTTACTCATGAATAACATCAGAGACTGAATGTAACTATATAATCGTTAAATACAGAAATATATTGGATAATATTCATGTCTTAATGTATCATGTATAATTCTTTAATAGTGGTGTTTAAGGATGATAACAAAAAGAATATGGAACTCAAGGACTTTGTAGTAATTGATTTATACTTAAAACATTGAGATGTCACTCACATGAGTGAAATCTAGTGGTCATAACTTCCTACTAGAATTTCGTAAGTACAACACAAAACCAGTCTCTAATATGCACAGTATTATAATTGGATTAATGATATTTGTGAAAGTTAATTATTATTATTTTTATTATTTATTTAAACACATAAATATTGGTACAAGGCGGCACCAAATAGATATGCACTACATCAATCATTCGGTTTGTGTGAGGACCGGGATACTGACCGGGTGCTAAAACCGTAGTAAATAGTTTTCTTAGGGAGTCACTCACCGAGCACCTGGACTAAAGGTCTAATCCACAAGGCAGTGGAGAAAAGTTAGCAGATGGAGTCTCATGGTAGCCGGTCAGTAACGATTATTTCACACACTATTTGTTCCCTCAGGACCTTGGAGCCCATGTGCACCATTGATTTGAAATCAGGGCTTTCCAACTCCCCTAGGTGAACTGTCCGTGTCCACCAACCCAGTTAAAGCGCCGGACATTCGCTTTTCTTCCTCTCGATTTCGCAAATAACACCCGTGCGGCGAGAAGGTAGTGAATAGGACTTCTGTTGTAGTGGCTGTATGCAAGTGGCCATGTGAGAGCATTCTCGGCAGTACCCGGGCATTTTGGAGCAAAGTTAATCATAGATGAACATCATATAGAGTATCAATAAAAGCTATAAAGTACTTGTTATCTGTTTCACCCTAGTATAGGACTTTAATAGTACATAACATGAACTTAATAAGAACAGAACTCTGAACCTTCAGCCATCGCAATGAACGCTTAGACTTCTTAAACTTCTAATTTCAACTAGCCTTGTTCAATATAATTTGTGTAAGCATTCAGACTATCAATCTTAAAATGAGAAGAATTAGCCATTGTATACTATATTACAATTCATATCTTAGGAAGTAGGGTTATTTTAGACGATAACTTGGAAAGGAAAAAGTCATTATTCGAATTACATTATGTTTCAAGCAATTTTTTTCTTATTTCAACCAATATTATATTAACTATCAGTATAGGGTCGTGAAGATTGTTGATTTTCAATTAACATCACAAATGAATGAATATTAAAACACTAATGAAAGCATGGGAGCACTGGACGGCCGTTTCATCCAAGTGTGGGACTCCTCAACAGTGCGCATCCACGATTCTGCACGTGGGACTCGAACCCAAGACATTCGGTCTCACGGGCGAACGCTTAAATCACATTAACTAAAAAAAAGAGTTTGGTGGAAATCGTTGAATTCTATGGTCTACATCTCCAACAAACTTTACGTAAAAAAACATTGAAAATCGGAAAGCCATGCACAATTATCTTGTCCTAATATGGAACAACTAATTAGTACACATTCACGAACACCAAAACTTCATTTAACTAACGTTTAATTTTTATAGTATAAATCAAATGTTGATGTTAGTTAGACCACCATTGAAACTTGAAAGCACCAATCTCTTTCTAGTATACAATTCTCCAGTATTCATGAACCAAACCGAGAACGTCCAGTCTTTCAAGCGAACACTTAAACTCTAGACCATTGACCCATGGTATACATGTTCAATGCTTTCAAGTCTTTTCTCGATGACCTACTTAAGATAAAACTACAGATATTGTACAATTTCCACAAATCCTCCTATACTAATAATGGTGAATTGTTTTTTTCGTTTGATTTCCTTCTTTTTTCCCCCCAACTATAATCAATACGTTACAAATCTTTCAACTTACACTACAATCACTAATTTGTAGTAACAAATAAACAATTCATTAAAAAAATATAACAATTATGAGTCATATTACAGGAAAGTTAACCTGCGTCTCTGTATGTATGTATGTATGTATGTGTGTGTGTGCATGCCCGGTGTTTCTTTATTTCCTTTCTTTAATATTCTTGTTGTGCCGAGAGTTTACACTTTCGATTTAGGTATATTTGTTATCAAAAAAAAACAAGAAACTACTGTGATATCATCGGTGTTATATAAATGAAAAATTTAGAGGAGAAAAAAAGAGGTAAACAACCTATGGTTTTCTTTTTTTAGTGTTTACAGAATATTCTAAGCCAATCAGGAAGTGAATAAAATAGAGATATAGATTTGTTACATAATGTGTCCGTCAACTTTCTTCTTCTTTTACGTTATGTTACCATGCTCCTTACATGATTTTCAAAGAAGAAAAAATCAACTTAGGTCAAAGGTTGTGTAGTAAACATTTTGTAAACATAAATTCAATTTAGGTAGGTAGGTAGGTAGGTAATTTTCATTAGGGTATTAGGAGAAAAGTTGTCCGATTGTATTTTATAGGAGTTTTATGATAAGAATAATATCATTCAGATTACTGATATGTAAGTTGAATGGCTCAACAATCTTTGCATCAGTAGGCCACAACATCCGCAAAGGAAAAAAAACAAGATCCTCATATGCAACACGGAGAACACTAATTCATTCACACTTACTGGCGAAACTTTGGAAAATGTGGAATCATTCACGTACATGGGAAGCATCATTGATGAACAAGAAGGATCGAATGCAGACGTGAAGGTGAGGATTGGCAAAGTAAAGGCAACATTCCTACAATTAAAGGATATATGGAACTCGAAATATTTGTCAACAAATATCAAAATCACAATCTTCAATACGAACGTCAAGACAGTCCTACTGTGTGGAGCTGAAACATGCAGAACTACTACAACCATCATCAAAACAGTACAAGTATTTACAAATAATTGTCTACACAAGATACTCAATGTTTGTTGACCAGATATCATCAGCAACAGCCTTCTGTGGGAGATGACAAACCAGCTTCCAGATGAAAAGGAAATTAGGAAAAGACATTGGAGGTGGATAGAACATACATTGTGGAGATCACCAAACTGCATTATGAGGCAAGCCTTAACTCGGAATCCTGAAGGGAAGCGGAAAAGAGGAAGGCCAAAGAACACATTACGTCGGGAAAAGGAAGCAGATATGAAAAGAATGAATAACAACTAGAAAGAACTGGAAAGGATTCCCCAGGATAGGTTGGATGAAGAGTGCTGATGGGCGGCCTACGCTCCTCCACGAGGAGTAACAAGCGTTAAGTAAGTTGGATGGTCCAGATTTCTCAA